CCAGACCCCAAGCATCCCAGTTATGCCCACCCCAATCCCCTGCTGACACTTCCCCCTGGTGCCACATCACATGTGAGTGCCGGTTATCCAGGGTGAAGTGTCCCCTGGGACAGTGGCCCCAAGGCTCCTGGCAGCCAGGAGCTGCTGTCTGCCTGGGGAGCAGCTCTTTTTGGGGGTGGTGAGAGCTGCCCAGAGCCATGGTGCAATGCCCAGCTGTACACAGGGCATCGCAAGCTGCTGCTGGGGCTGACACCACTGGCTGGGAGCGATGCACTGGGTCACAGCAGCTCTGGGGGGAGCCCAACAGCCCTGCACCTCCTGGGCCAGGAAGGCAGTGACCTGCTGGTGTGGCCCCAGGCTTCCTCCTCCCTCCCTGCCAGCACCAGGACCACTGGTGTGCAGCATCCCATCCCTGGGGTCCCACTCAGCCCTGGGCTGCTGAACAGGAGCTGCCCAAATTTGCACATACAGCCAGGCCTTTAGTTGTGCTCACGGCGGGCCGGGGTTGGGGTGAGCTGGGTGCCCCCATCACTTGCCGTTTACAGTCGAGACGCGTGTTCGAGCCGGGGCGAGGAGGGGCAGCCCCGCCCCACAGACTCGGCCCCTCGTCCAGGGGTGCAAACCCCTGTCTTCTGCCACATTCCCCCCATCTGCCCTCCCGCCGCCTCTCCGTGGCCCCGTAGGTAATCCTGTAGCTTTTGGAGCTTCACGCTGACCCACTAACACCTGTGGCCGTGGGGCCAGAGCCCTGCCCTGCCCACGCCAGGCTGGCCCCACACGATTTGTGCCAAACTTCTCCTGAGGGAGTGGAGGGGTGTGCAGGAGCCAGGGCTCTACCCGACCCTTCTCCCTCTAGTTGCCAGCGATGAGCTCAGCCTTAACACAGGAGGGTGAAGGAGGAAAGCCTGGGCACAGTTTACCTGCGGCTTTCGGCTCTGAAGCCAGTGAGGGTTGCATTATTGGTTTTTTTTTTTATTATTATTCTGTTTTACATTCGCAATTTGAATAAAATCAGTCTGGCTTTAGCAGCTGCGTTGGTGTCTGGGCAGTGCTGAGTGAGCAGCGAGCAGCTCCTGCCCTGTGGGTGGGGGATGGGGCTCCCCATCGTGCCAAGGTGGTGCTCCTGGGGGAGCATCAGCTCCAAGCCAGCAGTGCACCATTCACGTGTGCTCCTAGGCAGCTCCAGGGTTGTGTTGTCCCATGTACTGTGCTTTATTAGTAATCCTGGGTACTTGTGTGAAGTCCTTGCACTGGTGGGATGGCGAGGGGCAGTGGAGCAGAAGGGAACGGGCTTTGTCCCCCCGCCCAGCCCCGGGGGCGGTGCAGCACCGCTGGAGATCCCAAACGCCGCCACCAGCGCAGCCCTCGCTCCTCATCCAGCACCCAGGAGGTGCAGGGCAGAGCCATCCCTCTGGGCTTGCAGGGTCCTGGTGCCATGCAGGGCCTGCTGCTCTGGGGGGGCTGGCTGCTGGCCACCACCTGCCTGGTGGGTGCCACAGGCAGCTGCCGGCACCGCTGCTGCCCGGGCAGGAACAATGTGTGCTGGGCCCCCGGCGCCCGCCGGGCTCACTGCTACTGCGACTCGTACTGCCAGAGGACCGGGGACTGCTGCCAGGACTACCTCGCCACGTGCCGCCGCGCCGGTGAGTGGCACAGGGCATGGCACTGGCCAGGCTGGGGCTGGGGACACCAGCCTGGGCTGCTGCTCTGGGTGGTGGGTGTTTGCTGGTACCTGTTAGGCCCTGCTTTGAGCGGTAACAGGGTGCACCTGTGGGTGCCAGCTGGGCTGGATTTGTAACAATATCCGAATTTTCCCCTTCTTTCCACACTGAATGTCTGGCTGGTCCCAGTGCAATGAGAGCCCGCAGGGGTGGCTTCTGATCTGCCATTGACAGTGGCGCTGTCATTGTAAGCCTCAGAGTGGTCAGTGTGGAATCCAGCAGGACAAACCCTGGCAACACTCCTGCCACTGTCACGGGCAGTGCCTTGCCCAGGGACATAGGAACCGGGGGCTGTGCTGGAGATGCCAAACAGGGATAGTGGGCTTGGGGGTGTGGAGCCAGCCCGCCCTGGAGACCCAAACCCGGGCAGGCGGGTGCCGGCTGTGGCCCCCTGGATAATTGCAACAGTCAGCCCTTCCTAATCTCCAGGGAGATTAGCGGGGTCCCAGCTCAGCGCGATGCAGCACAGGGATAAAATCCTGCGGAAGCGGTGCACAGTGTCTCTGTGCTGGCGGGGGTCAGGGGAGAGGGGCTGCTGGGGTCACCCTGGCCCTTGTCCTTCCTCCCCTCTCCCCCTCCCCCTGTGCTGCACCCCCCCTGCACTCCTCTTTCCCCTGTTCATGACGCTGAAGCTCTGTCTCTTTTCCCTCTCCTCCATCCCTCCTGCTCCCCCGGCAGCCGTGGGCTGCTCGGTGGGGCCCTGGGGGCCGTGGAGCGGATGCAGCTCCCCATGCGGGGTCGGCAGCAGGGCCCGCAGCCGCCAGGTCACCGTCCCGCCCCGGCACGGAGGGGAGCCCTGTCCTGACCTCAAGCAGCGCCGCGGCTGCCTGGGGGAGCACCCAACCTGCGGGACGGCCAAAGGTAACATGGGATGCCTGATGCCCTTGCCTGTGGCCGACCCCATGTCCTGCCGTCCCCGCTGCCTGTCCTGGGGTGTCTTTAATCATCCACGTGCCCCTCGTGGCTGTTCTTCTGCCAGAGGTAGCCAAGATACTCCCCAAGTCCTTCAGCTGGGACTTCAGAGATCCCTGGCGAAGAGCTGGGCTGCCGCTGCTGGAGGAGCCCTCTGGGTATGTGTGGGGTTGGGGCCCCTCTGCAACCCTCAGACCCAACATGTTTTTGTACCCCCCAGCCATTAATCTTTTCACCACCCCAAACTATGGCCCCATTGCACCTCCATGGCCCCTTGCATCCCTCTAGGTCCATTATGTTCCCACCGTCTAAACCATGATCCCTTTGCACCCCCTAAAGCTATAGTCCCTTTGTCGCCCTGCAGACCTGTAGCCCCATTGCACCCTCATACAAAGCTATGGCCCCTTTGCACCCTCCACCCTCAAAGAGCCATTATCCTGCTGCCCCAAACCATGACCCCTTTGTACCCCCTAAACTCATGGCCTCTCTACACCCCCTCAGAGCCAATACCCTTCTCACCTCCCCAGCCATGGCCCCTCCCAAAACCACATCCCCTTTACACCCCCGATCCATCAAAAACCCCCAACCTCTGCCCTACTTTCCAACCACCATTCCCCCTGTTTTTCCCACCATTTCCCCTCTTTCTTCCCCCCTATTTTCCCCGCTCCCCAGCTCCCCCCTCCCCAGCTACTGCGGCTATTTCCGCCTGACGCAGGTAGGACCCCCCTGCCGTGGGCGAGGCTGGAGCCGCCGGCTGCACCGGGACAAGCAGGTGTGCGTGGAATGCTGGGGGGATGTGTCCCACCACCGTGCCCATTGCACTGGACATGGGCTGCATGGAGCCAGGTGGGTGGTAATTTTGGGGGGGACATGCCCAGATGGAAGAACATCTTTACATATCCCTCAGGCATCTTTCTTTTATGTTGTTAATATATTCATATATAAAACTATTATTATAATATACAATAATATAATATATTATAAGATAAATCAATAAATGTGGACTATAAATTGATAATATATAGTATAAAAATAAATGTATTTAAATAGAATATTTCAGTTGGAAGGGACCTACAATGATAATCTAGTACAACTGCCAATATATATTCTTATATATAATATAAAACTACATATAATTTTTAAATTATATTTAATTATTTGTGGCACACCCCAGTTCTCAACAATTTTCCCTTCCAGGACATTTTGGGTGGCTGCCTCTGTGGTGGGGTGCCAGGGCTCGTGGGTACAGGAGGGGCTGCAGGAGGGTTGTGTCTGCTCCCCACCCGCTCTCATCTTCGTGTAGGATCTCCCTGGGAAGGTGAGCTGAGCCTCCCTGTGGCACCACTCCATGCTGGGGAGGTGGGGGGATGAAATAAAAATGTGGCATCTTTTATAATTTCACCCTTCTGCAGGTTTGCTGCTCAGCCTTGGATCTGACTCCCTGTGTTTACCATTAAATACTTTGTTGGAGAATGGGAAGAAAATCCTTTTTATAAAGATTAAAAATAAGGGAAATGCTGAAGTGTGGTGATTAATGGTAGAAGAACATCACAATGAGGTTAAATCTGGGTGAGAAGATGATTGCAGCAGTGACATGATGTCATGCTCAGCCATGACATCATGCCATGCAATCAGCTGCCCTTGGCAAACAACATGAGGATGGAGCATCCTTCCTGTGCGTCTGAGATCACTCCCTGGAGTGAGTGTTGGGTGAGCTGGGCAGGGTGACTCAGCTTTGTGCTGTGGTTTGCAGACAGGAATTAAACAGACACCCAAAACCTGCATGTGGGCGATGGTGCCAGAGGGCATCCAGTTCCAGCTGTGGGGCTCAGCAGCTCCCACTGGAGGGAGTGAGGCTGAACTGGGTGGTGCTGGTGCCTTCCTCACTCAGCGTGTGACCTCACTGGTGGGGTCCCTGGTCCAGCCTTGGCCTGTAGTACCACAGCCTGTGGTGGGAGGATGTGCCATGCCAGGGCTGGCTCTTGCCAGGCTGGCCAAGGGAGGAGGGAGCCCAAGGTGGGGCAGCACCCATCCCCAGGAGGAACAGACTGTCTCTGTCCCCACAGTGGGGACTGTGGCCCTGGGCAGTCCCAGTGCTTGCAGAGGACAGTCAGTTGCCCAGCTCTCTGTGGAATGTAATGAGGAGGGTTCAGCCAGGCCTACCCATCAGCTGCCTCTGGCCATGAGCCAGGGTGGCCCCTGGGGCTGGGGGCTTGAGGGGGGGGCTTAGGATTTGAGGTTCCCTCGCTGCAGCCAATGGCTGTTGTCTGTTTGTTGCCCCAGGATGTGTTTGGCTCCTGCTGCCTGTTGCAGCTCCCTCTCACACCATCCTCCTGGGCAGGGAAATTAAAAGGCTTCAACACTGGGAACGTTCTTGGCCTCTTTATTTGGGATGAAATCCCAGGTCGGCCGTGGACAAAAACACTGGTTAAAAAAACAGGTGCTGGGAGTTGAGGAGCACAAGGGGATGTGAGGGCTCCAGTGTGCGGGCCTTCCCTGCCAGCCAGAGCCAAGGGCAGGGATGCCATGGGCACAGGCCAAGGTGATGCTGCACTGGAGTCCTCAGGTGGACAGTTAGAAAACAGTGGGAAAAAAGTGAGTGTGTCCCCCACTGCATGTGATTCCCCTGAGTTAAACCACCGAACCCGCAGGCCTGGCTGGTGGCCAGAGAGCATCCAGCAAAGAGAGGGACGTGACTGCAGGGTTTCATGTCACACCACTGCATGCTGGGAGGTGTCAGGCAGTCTCAGATGGTGGTTCCAGCTCTCCTGGTGCATTGCCCTGATTGGGCACAGGGACCAGCCCGTGCTGCACCAGCAGCCCCTGCACCAGCTCCAGCTCCTGCTCCAGCTCCTGGGTGCCACAGTCCAGCCCTGGCACAGCAGTGGCACCTTCCCCCAGTACCTGCAGCACCCGTACCACCAGCCGGGCCCTCACCAGCAGGACGGCCACGGCTGTGTGGAGTTTGGCACAGCCCAGCACCTTCATCCCCCAGTGGGCACCACTCCCTGAGGAGAGAGAGGGTGAAGGAGCCGTGAGCATGGTGGGGTCTCTCAGGGAAGAGCTGGCCTTGGGATGGGGACACCAGCTCACTTGTCCTGGGGGCTCCACACTCGCCATACCTTGGCTCCAGCAGTGCTTGCAGTACCGCAGCTCCTGCAGCACATCAGGGCCTGTGGCTTCCAGCCAGTGCAGAGCTGATGCATGGAGTGGGCTGCCAGCAGGCACCTTCTCCAGGAGCTGCATCAGGACAGGGAGCAGCTGCTGTGCCAGGATGGCTGGCTCTGCAAAAACGTTGGGTTCATCCTCCTTGTACAGGCTGGCAGCTCTGGGGGGAAAGCCAAGGCATGAGTAAAGCCAAGGGCTGGCTCCAGGGTACCCTGCACTCCTTCATACCAGCCCACAGCTCACTTGTTGGTCTCCAGCTCCTCCACAATGCTCCTGAGATCTAGGATGGGGAGGTGCTGCAGCAGTGAGTTGAAGGTCTCAGGGTGCTCCCCGAATTCTCCCAGAAGGAGCTGCAGGAGGCTCTGGAGCCCCACATTGTCCTGCACAAAGGTGCATCCATCTTGGAGTGGCTCCCTGGGGTTCTGCCGCAGGAGGCTGGCGAAACCTGAGGCCTCGTGCCGGACCTCCCGCTCCTCATCTTGCAGAAGGTGAATGGCCATGTTTATCAGCCTGGGGAAAGGGAAGAGAGAAGGGAAGGGAAGGACACTGCACACAAAGTATCACAGCCTGCCTGGAGGGGAAGGAAGCACTCACAGTCTCTGTGAGTCCCTGAGGGACTTTTCTCCTGGACTGCGAAAGGCACAACCAGCACTCAAGAGCTTGCAGCTTGGGAGGGCAGGGACCATACTGGGGACTGAGGGACTCAGCAGTATCATCTGCTGCTCATAAGGGACTGGCTGCTTCTATTAAAATGCCAACCAAGCATTTTTCAAGCTCTTGGGTGCCAGTGATTTTTGAACAAGTGGGGTTTTCTTCAATGAGTTTTTTGCAGGGGACACCTTTTGCAGAGTCAATTAACCTGCAGCATCCTGAGGCTGCAGGGAGCAGCGCTGCTGGGAACGTGCTGCGGCCACGGGGCAGCACCGCTCCTATAAGTGCAGCCGCCCCCGGGGATGGGCTCAGGGACCTACCGCAGAGCCACGGGGACGAGCGAGGGCCGGGCAGCTCGCAGAGATCGCCGCACCACAGCGGCCCCCGCCGTCTGCAGGGAGCGGGCAGCCGCCAGCCGCAGCACCTCGCACGAAGCAGAGCGGCTGCACTCCTCCAGCGCCGCGCACCAGCGCTCCACCAGCGGGCCGGCCTCGTCCCCGAACCTGCCAGAGGCCAGGGAAGGAGAGGGGATTCAGGCACACCTTCCCGCTCCGTCCGGGGGACCAAAGTCCACCGGGGGCGCTGAGATCGCAGGACTCAGGTGCAAAGCTGTGATTTATAAGAGAAGTCATGGCTCTGTTTCCAGCAAGGACTAAGAATCTGCTGGGTGAGTCAGGCAGCTCCCCGGCAGCAGGAGGGACCTACCAGTGGGTGAGCAGCAGGCTGGCAGCACACAGCGCCTGGAAGAGGAGGTCGGGGCCAGGACACTCAGCCTCCACTATGTGTAGAAGCATCTCCAGGCATGCTGCCCAGAAGCCCTGGAGCTTGTGGGAAGCTTCCTGAGACCATGATGAGGGATCTCTGTAAAGATGCAGCAAAGCCTCAAGGTACAACCTCAGGAACTCTTTGTCCCTTCTCTCTTGCAGCACTGACCGCAAGCTCTCCTAGTTGACAACAGGAAAGAAGGTACATGGTTAGTGGTCCCAGCACTGTGGGGTGTCAACCAGGCAAGTGCCCCACACCCACACACCCTCAGCCTGGGGAACACTGTGCTTCTCAGGGATCCCATCTGTGTGGTGCACTGGGGACCCCCTGCTTTACTTGGTGGCTTTTTGAACCTTGTCATACCAGCAACGTCAGCCTGAGAGCCTTCTCCAGCTCCTTGCATGTTCCTCCCTCCCTGGCGACCACCCAGCTCAGGATGGCAAGCTGGACATCAGGATTGGGCTGCTGGACAAGGGAGCAGACAGCAGCAATCCGCTCGCTGTCTGCCAGCTGAGCTGCCTCGCTGCACATGAAGTGGGCCATGGTTTGGTGGAGAATGGCCAAGCCAACCTGCAGAAAAAAACAGGATTCCCCTCCCAGTGCTCAGCCTCGAGCGAGCGGTCCTTGCTCCCCGCCCGGGCCCACTGCCAGTCCGGCCATGGCCGTGATTTTCCTGGCAGGCAGCGGTACCTGCGGCTCAGCACAGCCGGGCTTTCCCCCCGGCAGGAGGCTGCCCAGCTCAGTGCTGATGGAGTCACAGATGTGCTGGGCGAAGCCGGGGCTGAAGGATGCAGGGAGGAGGGCGAGGACCTGGAGGAAGGCGGCGCGGACGAGCGGGCAGCGCTGGGCAGGGGTGAGCAGCCAGCCCCGCGCCTCCAGCTGCAGAGCCACGGGGCGCAGCGCCTCGGCCGACAGCCTGCAGGGAGACACGGCCTTACCACGGGCACAGCGCCGGGCTGGCCGCCCTTCTGTGGCCAAAAAGCTGTATCTTGGCATGCAGTGACCACAGGGGTTGCAGGTGGGGGAATAGCCTGGCACCACTCACCCCCTGGTGCCCGTGGCAGAGGCCAGCAGCGCCCGCATCTGCAGCAGGTGCCCATGGACAGCGTTGTGCGAGTGGATCCGTCCAGGTGCCACGGGGAGCTGCCGGGCGAGCTGCAGGAGGAGCCCACGGCGCCGGGGCGGTGGGACAACGGGCACCAGGGCCTTGGCAGCCATCGCTCGCACGGCGTAGATGGGGCTCTCTGCCAGTCCCAGCAGTGGCCCCAGGAAGGGAGCAGAGGGGCTGTGGAGCAAAAAGGCACTGTGTGGTGATGCTCTAGTCAGAGCAAAACCCCCTGAGAGCCAGGGCCACTCCCAGCACCACAGGACCCCCTCCCACTATAGGAGCCCTTTGCTGAGGCAGAGCATCCCCACTGCCCCCCTACCTGCCAGAACCGTCAGCACCAGGATGCAGCTGGGCCAGGAGGGTGAGGATGGCGTGGAGCGCGGGGTGCAGACGGGGCCCCCCCGGCATGGGTGTTGTGGCCACCCTGAGTTCATCCAGCAGCACAGTGCCCAGCTTTGGGTGCTGCCCGAGGAAGGCAGGCAGGCTCACCCCCTCTGCCGGGCAGCCCTGCCCGTGGCTCCGCGGCTGCCCCAGCAGCCGGGACGTGAGGGCACCTGCAGGGACAGAGAATGCAGCGTCAGGTCCCATCCAACCCTGCCCAACCCCCTGCACTTCACCCCAGCCAGGCTCCGAACCCGGGGGGTGTGGGGATCTCTCCCTGTCAGTACTCACTGAAGAGCTGGATGGCCGCATTCCTCATGGCCCAGCACGGCGAGCCCAGGCCTTGCAGTGCCAGGGCCATCATGGGTGTGGCGTGGCACAGCACCGCCCCGCCCAGCCCCGCACCACGCACCAGCGTCTGCAGCACGTGGAGGGCACACACCTGGGGAGAGTGCAGGGATCAGCATCACTGGGCAGGGAGGGCGTTTGTGCTTCCACAGGAAGAAAAGATGGTGGGAAAAGACAAGGGAGCCAAGGGGCCAGTAGCTCTCGGGCTGCTGGGCTGGGCAGCACAGTCAGGACTTTGGGTTTTTGCTCATTCTGAGGTCTCCACACCAGCACTGGATACCCAGGGGTCCTTGTGCAGATCACCCTGTCCCCAACAGGCTCCAGCAGCCAGGAGCCCCACACCCACCTGTGGGAGGTCG